CATGGAGGACATCTATGCATTTGATCCACCATACATCTATGCAACTTGTTTTAACCTACAAGTATTAACCTACTAATCTCTCCCCTCTCTTCCCTCTTGAAATCTCGGCCAAACCCTCCATCCCCACCACTTTCACTTCAAAAACTTCATTCCATCTCATTTCCTCTCAAGATCTCTAGTGATTCACTCAAGAATCTTCAAAGTTCTTCACCATCAAACATCAATTCAAGACTCCTTGGTAAGTTCTATACTAAAACTCAAGTGTTTTACTTCAATAAATGCCAATATCTTTCTCTTATACTCTTATTTTCGTGAATATGAACCATTAGAAACACCTCCATTTCGAGATCACACCAAAAACTCAAGCTAGGCTCAAGTTTCATCTTCTTCTTCATCTACATCTCAAAAACCCCAAGGTGAGTTCATACCCCCCCCCCCTATTTTTCGATTTTCACTTTGTTTTGGGGGAGAATACAAGTTGTTTTGTGTAGATCTATGTGTGTATGCATGATATTGTGTGTTTTCATGATATATGTTGTGATATGTGTTTACTTTTGGAGTTTTACTTGAAGTTGAAGTTTAGCACTTGGATCTTAATAAAAACCTTGAGAAAAGTATGTGTTATCACATATATTACATGTAAACTTGTAGATCTGGGGTTTATACCCTTAAAATAGCAAAAATAAGTGTTGTGTACAAACTTGGATAACTTGAACTCAAAAATCAGCCTTTGACAGAAAAGTTTTGGCCTAATCTTGGACTGTTTTGACCCTCTTAATGGTAATATTTTTAAAAACTGTTTTACATGCAAAACTTTCAGGTTTATACCTTTAAAATGACTACTCTCACGTTTTCATACGATTTTTCTAAAATGTTTGGCGAATTTTACAAAACTGCCTATCATATTTGAAATAATCTCGGACCAGCCAGTGAAGGTGAGCAATTTCACACTAGTTTGGGGCCATTAAAAACTATGATAAAAATTGTGAACAAAGTAGACAAAATTTCTAAACTTCCAGAGTTTACGGATCCAAATTTCGACTTACGATGATTTTTCTACAAATTTTCCAACAACCGGGTCAAAAAAGTCAAAAACCAAAAAAATTGTGTTTAACTTACTAAAAGTGTTTAAACTTATGTTGGATGCAAGACTTGGCCTTTAAAAGGCCCTAAAATGTTATTTTTACTAAAATTGGGCCTTAAGTGTAAATTTTTGACTTAATGGGCCAAGAGTGTCATTTTTACAAAAAGTGGGACTTTTATATAATTTTAGTAAATAATTGAGTTAAAACCAGCAATATAATAACAAACAGGCTAATTAGGTAACTTTCATGTTTATTGGGCCTTAGTAACCCATTGATATGTTTGATAGGTCCTGAATACTATTTATATGTTTATTGGGCCTTACTGACCCATTAACATGCGCGACGGACCTTGGATAGTATTTGCGTGCTATTTGGGCCTATAAATACCTTACGTGTGAAATGGGCTCTAGTTGTCCTTTTACGTATATTTTGGGCCCATGTTATATAATCTCATTCCTTTCGGGCCTGAAAATGACTTACGTGTTTAGTGAGACTCAGTGGTCCGCTTACATGGTTCATTGGGCCCGGAATGAGTTTATATGTTTCTCTTCGCGTAAAATTTGATTAAGGATCTAGTGAGACGTGTCGGTTGACACCTAATGAGTGTACGATCGTAGCCTGTAGTTATAACCAGAGTCTCTTGGAGAGAGGGTTTTGTGTATAGATCTATACGGGGATGACACCCCACACCTGAGCTGTTCGCTACAGTTGGACTACATCAGTCTAGGGTGACGATAACCTTATTCTATTTTTCCGTCGGCGTTCACAAATGCCAAAACAAGTGAATTTGTCATTAATTAGTATGGTTATGATGGCTCACTTAGAGGAATTAACGTTATAAATTTACGTGAGACCATTCTTTTCTTTTCTTCTTTGGATTATTCAGAAACATACTCGTACTGGTACTCAACCTCGACGATCGTAGTCTGTAGTTATAACCAGAGTCTCTTGGAGAGCGGGTTTTGTGTATAGATCTATACGGGGATGACACCCCACACCTGAGCTGTTCGCTACAGTTAGACTACATCAGTGTAGGGTGACGATAACATTATTCTATTTTTCCGTCGGTGTTCACAAATGCCAAAACAAGTGAATTTGTCATTAATTAGTATGGTTATGATGGCTCACTTAGAGGAATTAACGTTATAAATTTACGTGAGACCATTCTTTTCTTTTCTTCTTTGGATTATTCAGAAACATACTCGTACTGGTACTCAACCTCGGGGGTTGGTATGACAGCATTCACTTTTTCAGACAACATAGGGTTGTCTGAGGGCATTCTCTTTACATTCTCTTTACATTCTCTTTACATTCTCTGCATTATCTTTATACATTCTAATAAACAATAATACACATGCATTAATACAAGATCTGACACAAACATACTAAACTGTTTTCAGAAAATATAGGATTTTCTGGTGGTTTCAAAGTTGAACAAATCATTTTCACAAACATGCTTATGAACTCATCAACATTTTCATGTTGACCTTTTTAAATTAACTTGTATTCTCAGGAAACCGTTGAAGCAGGTTGAGCAGAACGAATTCATGGATATTTTGTTATATTTTGGTTTCATCATACTTTAACTATTTTGGCATGTAATATCCAATTACAATACTCAATGTAAACTATGAATGTTGTTATATTACATGTGTGATGATGACGATGTTATGTTTCAATTATATACTCTGTGATGATACTGAAATGTTGAAAGTCACACTAAGCCTCCGGACGTTTCCACCGTCTGGTTCGGGGGTGTGACACCTCTATTTTCCGAGTTAACCGACTCGTCATGACCACGAAACGGTAAACCAGTTTTCAATAAAAGTCTAACAACAATAATAGAAACACGTAATCGAGCTTTATATTTGTGGTCCTCCGCTTTGGTTTGCCTCCTCGAGACTACATTAATAGCTTGTTTTTCCCTCATCAAAAACTCACACTTTTCTTTTGCTTTGTTGTGAAAACTATCAACACCACCCACATGAGTCCGAAATGCATCTTTTTTTATTCCAAGTATCAAAACCTTGGGAAACAAATGCATCTCTCCCTCCTTTTTGTCCCATGAGGTCTCCACACACATAAAAATATAAACAATATGCACTATTCTTTTTCACACTATATTCTAACCAATCAAAGTCATCTAACCATGAAGGAACGAATCTTCTAAATCTATCACCTATTTTTTTTTTTTGGGAAACTTATGTGCCATTACTTGACAAGGTCCTTGAAGCAAATACGCTCTTCTTACTTCATCTATTATGTTTGATTTGTAACTTGTAATCTTTGGCCTATCCGCGGGGTCTTTTGGAAGATCTTTCAAGTCAACATTATTCCCACTTTTATAAATGTAAATTTCTATTTAATAATAGGGTGTTGCTAATAAGACACCTCTTAGACATCCTATTCCCACTTTTATAAAAAATCAACCTATAATTAATTACTTATAATCCGATTTTTCAGAAAGCAATGAAATTTCAACCAATAAGTGATAACAATTGATGGTTCTTCTTGTTTGTTAGCGGTTAAAACTATAGTTAATAGCAAATTATATATTTTCTTCAAAACATTATAATCTACTATTACGAAAACATAAAATCGATCAATTATATAATATGTTTACATCTATAATTTACATATATTAAAGAGTTAACCATATAAAAAATAATGTCCTAAATAGGGATGGCAAAAAGCCCCATACCCGATGGGAAATCCGAAACTCGCATCCGTTTTGACCGGGGAATCCCCAAGTTGACCGGGGATGGGGATGGGGATGAGGAATCCCCGAATAAAGAAGTGGGGAAGGGGATGGGGATGTGGATATCCCTAATCCCCGACCCTGGACCCGCCCCCGATATATATTAATATATAAAAGTAATACAAAACATATATTTATAGTACAATTTACAATTAATAGAATTTTATCCAAGTAACCTAACTCATTAGGAATTACTTGGTTGAAATTATTTTTTTTTTTCTTTTTATCTTATTTAAACTCATGTATAATTTTTTTTTTGTATTTTGTTCATCTATTTTATCTCAAATATCACTCTGATAATTTTTTCTACTTGATTTCTCATGTATGTATTTAAATATGGTAGAAAATTTATTTATATTTTTTATGCAATCTATATATATTTTTATATTTTGTAAAATCTTTAAACTTATGCTGGTAAAATTGAAATTTAGATGTTTTCTTTACATAAAATTTTTCATATTAAAAGAGAAAAAGATATCCCCGATTCCCCATTGGCATCCCCGTTGGGGGTGGGGATTGAGATTTATCTATATTCCCCGGTGGGGATGAGGATAGGGATGAGGATTAGAATGAGGATTCGGGGATGGGATGGGGATTGGGGTCCCCTGTAAAACCCGCCCCCGTTGCCATCTCTAGTCCTAAATCACCTAATAAGGTCCCGCCCCCGTTGCCATCTCTAGTCCTAAATCACCTAATAAGGTGCAACAACATGAACTGAACTCTCCAAACATCATGAAACACTTATAACAATATTTAAAAACTCAACAAATACACAAAAAAAAAACAATCAAACAATTGATTTGAAGACCATAATAATAGTTGGCGAGAGTCATAATTTGGAGAAGATAATTGTAGGTTGCCATAATTTATCAAAAGTGACAGGACATTTGGTCACGTTTTGAAATAAAAAAAAATGTAGCTAAATGTCTATGGTGACTGTTATTTGGAGTGAGTAATGACGTTTTGTATGTGTGAGAGAGAGATGTGTGTGTATGTTTTACTTTCCACTCTGAAATTGGATAGAGCATCAAATAAACATAGATCTTCATCATAGAGGATTTATTTAGTACATCATCAAATGTTTGCTAGTTGCTGAATGTTCATGGGATAAACAAAATCAGGAGGACCACTAAAAGCTTTCTGTCCCATCAATACATTCACTGCTTCTGTTGGGTGAAATGCATCCCAAACACATACTCACTCCTGTTCGGACACGGGGTTTGGAATGGTAAACATGTTATCTGCCCTCTATTTCTACCTATCCCGCAACATCCTCTATTCACCACTCGTAATCCTGCATCACAAATCCAAGAAACATTTACTAATTTTATAAATTATATGATACTGAAGATAAATAACCAATGACGTATACATTACCATAAAATTTTGCATTAGAAAGTATATCTTGAAACATGTTATGAACGTCTATGAAGACGAACTTTGAACCAGGGAGATTGGTGCTTAAGTTGTTAATCATTGTCCTCATGTTCGCATTGAAAGGGAGAACAAGCTGGTTCACATCCTCGGAGCACTTCCCTGTCGTTCCTTGTGCAATGATGCTTGGAATGCAGCCCATCAGTCCTATCCCAGCCAAAACAAATTTCCGGGCTCCAAGATTGTAAAGTTTCTAATTCAAAACGTCACACTTACGATGAAAAACAATGCCACTAGAAAAAGAAATTTGAATTCCATTTCAAACTATCTTACAGTGAGTTGACTAGTGTACTCCTTGGACAAGAGGTCTGCAAACTGTTGGCCGTTATATTGGTTGCGCGTAGGGTAATTTGGCATGAGATAGTTGTTTAGGTAGTCATTGCTACCCATTCCAACAAAGAACAGGCTTTGAGAGAGCACCTGACTCACATCCACTGCACCCAAGTGGTCCGTTAGTTGATCCAATGCGTCCTCGAAGTTCTTAATCTGTTGGTTGAATGGGAGACGATCCACCTACATAATCAGCAAAAAATAACAATAATCCTTCATGTACCAGTACCACTTAATTTCAGAGGTTGCCCAATATTTTATTAATTACCAATCAATCAAACGTGTAATCACAAAGAAAAACTTACAAAATTCCGGCCGGTAATATCAAGGATTCCAGCGGCCGCAGAAGCAAAATTGACACCATTAACCATTTGATCGCCAGAATTTGATGCTTGGGAGTAGGATGGTATTAGTGGCAACCCTAGCAATTCCGCTACATTCATATTTATGCGCATGTGTTATATACCATCATTTTCTTTTGAATTCAAAAAAAAAAAAAAAAAAAAAAAAAAAAAAAAAAAATACGGAAATCAAACCTACCTCCTTTAAAAAATATATAAGAACCTACAACTATGCGATGTGAGTCAAACTAGGCAATTTTCAGAATAATTTGAGTTCTTTATTATATTATGTTGCATGCCTTTGAAAGTACGTGACCTATTTATTCAAAAACACACACACACAAACATATATATATATATATATATATATATATATATATATATATATATATATATATATATATATATATATATATATATATATATATATATATATATATATATAGAAGTAGAGATGAGATGAGAATGAGAGACCTATTTCATCAACCATGGTGTAACCATTGGAGAATCGACCAGTAGGACCTCCATTGAAGTCAATGCCGTAAGGATAATAATTGGCCTTTGCAAAAGAAGTCAAATCATTGTTGTTCCCATTGTCAATTAGCGAGTCTCCAAATATAAATATCGCGGGAACCATCCCTCCCCCAACTGCATCGGGAGCAAACGCATCTACCATGCCACCATCGTCTTCGTTGTAGTCTTGTGCCGTGACATTCCACAACATGCCAATCACCAACACCCACAACAAGCAACAAAATTTCAACATAATCTTCTCTTCGTCACCCATGTTAATCTGTTTGTATATATACTTTTTGTTACAGAGACTATGCTAGATAAAGCGAGAGTGGAATGAGATTTTCAACAAGAGGAGAGCATGCATATATAGAGAAGAGAGCCTGTAAGTTTGTTGGAGAGTAGTAAATGCTTCCATTTGTTAAATTATGACACGCAGTAAATACATTACTCTTTTCTATGCCATTATGGTAATGGCTGCCATATGTTCTTCAGCTAGTTCGTTGACTCATGCATCGCCCTCTTTCACAACCAATCCCCTGTTCTGCAACTAGTCCGTTGACTTACGATTTTCTATGCCATTATGGTAATGGCTGTCATAAGAGTTGTTGCCTGAGAAAATAAAAGAAAATAACTGAATACAAAATGCCTCACGTACTTCAGCAACTGCACAAGTAATTATGTTAAGAACGCATATCAATTACAACAGCAATGTATACAAGCTTAGGCTATGGGTAGTGGTCAAATCCAAGCCATCCGAAGGTGAGCTCCACCACTAACCCACCACCAACCCACTAGACATTGGAAATGGTTAACACTCCACAATATTCATTTTCTTATATTTTTATTTTTTTTAAATTAAATTAATTAAAAAACATAATTTATAACATAAATAAATATTTTAAAAACATAAAAAAATAATAGCACATTGCATTAATTAAAAACTTAAATTACTAAAAAAACATAAAACATACAAAATAAGACATTACATTACTTAAAAAATTATATATATATATATATATATATATATATATATTCAGAGACCATAATTGTAAGTTCCATTAAAAACAAAGTGGATGATTCGTTGCTGCTGTTGCTTTGTAACGTCCCGAAAATCATAAAGAAAAATTTTCATTTTCAAAGTATTAATTCATATAACATTCCCTTTCTAAATCATTCAATGTGAAAGATAGTAATAAAAATCATAGTAAAATCTCAATTAATCAAATGCGAAATAAATTATGGGGGATGATGTGCAGTTACACCGGGCCCTTCTCTTCCGAACTGGAAATACCTGAAACTATAAACATAAACTATAAGCACAAAGCTTAGTGAGTTCCTCGATGTACCATATACCAAAACATACAAGTGCAATGGGCTACCCCCATGGTCTTTCCTTGCAATGCCGATGGTCAAATCTCGATTTTACATATAAGTGTCATGGGCTACCCGCATGGTCTTTCCTTGCAATGCCGAGGGTCAAAACCCGATCTTACATACAAGTGCCAGGGCCACATCCTAGTCTTTCATACAATAGCCAGTGGCTAGATCCTGGTCTTTCATGCAAGTATCACCGAGACAACTAGCATTCTACGTAACAAAGTAATGGGTCGGTATTGGTGCCTTCGACCCACGGATACAGTGAGAAAACTCACCTCACAATCTGAAAGGATAGTTGCACCGATCACTGCTCTAAAAGTTATCTCTACTGGTCACCTATACAATTAACAGGAACCCAAATCTCAAACTATAAATCAAATTACCCAAAATGCCCTTAGGTTAAACTTGATCAAAGTCAAAAGTCAAACGAGTCAACCGGGTCAACTCAGTTGAGTACGCTGGGTGTACTCAACATATACACGGGGCATACTACGCCTTGACCAGAAGTCAAAGGGTTGACCACGTACGTGTAACATACCCTTTGGTACGCCCAACGTATGAGGCTGCCATCCTCCCAATCCATTAAGAGTTTAATCCTTTAAGCTCTTTCGTCCAAAATCCAGATTTAACCCTCAGAGTTTGTTGACCACACCTCAACTCTTCCGTCATCATCATTGCCTTCCTGAACAATCAACGTCGGTTTCGCATTTGATGCATTCTTTCTCATGAGTTCCTCTATCTTATGAAGATAGTAGGCCTCGTCCTTTTCACTCTCTTTCTTCTCATTCTATTCTCAACATGCATTCTTTTGCAAAGTGGTTTTTGCCATGACAGTAATTACATTTGTAGCCTGAATCACCTAGAAGCTTCTTTTCTTCATCATTTTGAGAGTTCTTGAAACTCTCATCTAGACTTTTCAGAACTTGAAATTCCCTGCCTGTATTTGTTCCTGTAACAAGAGAAATTCTTCTTGAAGAACTTCTTAGGGTTGGATACCATTAGAGCCTTGTCTTCTTTTGAGATTTTGCTATCTGAAAGGTCAGATTCGGAATCATCTTCTGCTGTTTTCTTTCCCTTTGCAACCAATGCCAAGGATCCCATGCCAGAAACAAGCTTCACTTCCTAAGTCATTTATCTTCGTGAGATCTCAGAATGCCCACGATTTTGGGCAAAGAATAGCTTTTAAATTGTTCATGTGCCTTCGTTGTGGACACAATAACTTTCCATTCTGACCTAAGACCGTTCATGAACTTGACTTTCTTTTCAATAACACGTCGCTCAAGATTATATTTGAGCATTCTACTCAGTAAGTGGTTGAAGCGGTTGAAGATCTGATCTAACTTCTCATCAGGCTTTTGACCAAAAGAACCAAACTCAGAAAAAAGAGTCGTTTGTAAAGAGTGTTCTAGATCAACATCTCCCGAATATAGCTCCTTTAGCCTATCCCATATACCCTTAGCAGTATGATATGAGCTTACGAGATGAAAAGTGTCCGGAGGAAGTGCAAACCGTATAATTCTCATTGCCTTTATGTTGCTCATTAACTTATTCTTTTCATCCTGAGGAACATCAGTGTGTTCAAGAATAAGAGCATCTTAATCAGCCTGGGTCTTGATTACATTCCTTGTCTCCGTATGCGAGTACGTCTCCTGTGTCATTGCATGCCATATAGTCGACCCATGTTCTTCATTACGAAGAACGTAATCTTCAAAGTGCAACGCCCATACTTTATAATCTTGTGGGAAGAGGATTAGAATTCTTGTTGTAGATCCAATACTACTAGAAAGATTGAACAAAAGAGAATGAGGATCTTCATTTTGCATATTGTCAGAAGTTCACAAAAACTAATATAGAACCAGATATGTAAAACTTGAATCGAGTTCAAGGGATATTGAGAGATCTAGATCTAGAGTCTATAATCGATTGAGACGATTGAGACAAAAAGAACAGATCCAAGAAAAACATAAAACCCTAATGGAACTCGACAAAAGAATAGCGAATTATACTATCTCCTGCTCTGATACCAATTGTGAGAACAATAAATAAGATCGAAAGATTCTATAATAATGACGTGAATTAAAGAGAAGAGCAATGAAGATCAAACGTGTGCCTAATTCTTTGATTAATCGACTCTAAAAGAGTTCTTTGAGAACTTCTCTGTAAGAGCGTACAAATGAAAATTAGGGTTACAAAAGCGTTAACCCTAAAAATACATGCATGCACAATATTTATAGTTTAAACTATAAGCAGATCCGAGAATGGACAGGCCCAAACCAGAATAAAACAAACTATACTAAGCATACAATTGACACAACACTATTAAACCCAACATATACCTCTAAGAAAGATCAAGGTGAACAAAGTTTGGATCTACAAGCTCTAATGAAACCAATGTTGGGTTTTGTATACTACAACATCCTATGGTGCACATACAACCCTAAATACCTTGGATCTAAGTTTTCACTAATTATACATGCAAATGGTTTCTAAGGCATTAAACCTATAACTAGCATGCATTTGACATAAACCATATAAGATACTAGTTAGGGCAACATACCTTTTATGTAGCTTGAAGTCTTGATGTATTTGGCCTTAAGAGCTTAGCCCCAATAGTATGGAAGCCTCAAATGAAGTCACAACACATCATGGACAAAGGTAGACATTTGAGAGAGAATCTTCATACACCAAAAACCATCCATATGAACTTCATGAACATTAGTCACGTTTTTGGCTATGTACTCACCTATTTATATGTAGGATTCCAAGGGTCATGGGTATAACCCAAATCCATACCCATGGGTTTATGATCCATGGTTCATGTGGCCCAACTCTTTATATATCCATACATAAGCTTGGTCCAACATGGATCATAATCCCAACACATATAAATATAACTAATTACCATAATTAGTCCCCATAGATTTAATTAGTCTCTTTTGATCATTAAATTAATTCCAAATTAAATCTTGATCAATACTAATTAAAACATATGATTTTATATTAATATATTATAAATTATAATATATTAATAAATCATATATAACCTTCTCTCAAGAGTCTATCCTAACAAATTGTCCTGATGATATGCAACCCAAATGGACCATGCTACTCTCGGGTCGAGTACATACCAATAATAGTTATGGGCTTAGACATCTAATCCAACAGTCTCCCACTTGGATAAGTCTAAAACTATTGTTGCAAGTATGACTCCAAAACCTGACTAGCAATCGTAGCTCTTAAAAGCCGCTGTCGAACTCTGACCTAGTCAATGACGTGTCCATTAGATAAGTGATTATATATTCCTCCATTCTAGATATCATATGTACTGAGACATGGATTATAATCATTCTCTCTGTCCATCTGTTGTTTTCCGATTTCCAATTTATGACGACTGACTAATTGAACAAATCAAATCAGTCCAGGCCCGGCCGATCACTTACGTTTGTCATCACTAAATCATCGAGGGGCCCATAGATATCGCTTTTATCCTTCCAAGGGTAAAAGGAATGGATAAACTTCGACTCATATGCTTGTACTAACTACTTGTTGAATCATACACAAAGGCACGTTTTATAACATCAAGTTACTGATGCCTTTTCGTACAATCAATGTACAACCAACTCATAGTCAACAACTCATATCTCTAGGTTTGAAGATGGGAGCAATGATAAAGTAAGACTAATATGAATTGGATTGGTTGACTCTCACCAGAAGAAAGTAGGCAAGTGGTTGTAACCAAGATTCATAGATACTTGTCATAGAACTGGTATTGAACTGACTCGCATCAAGATCACCTCATGAATCGCTATCATGAGTGATACTTGATTAAAAGGTACTATCTTTGTATCCTTAACACCTGAGATATATAATGATACTTAAGTGTAGGGAATGTTT